TGCGAAACCCTCCGTCTTTTTTCGGTGTGAACAGTATCGGTGCGGCGAACGGTGACGAGCTCGGTCGGATAAACTGCTTCTCTAACAGATAATCTAACTGCTTCCTTAGTTCGTCGAGCTCGGGCTGTGTCAGTCTGAACTGGCGCTGTACAGTTGGCTGTGCCCCCTGTTCTAACTCGATCCTATGGTCATGCGCCCGCTGAGGTGGCAGCCCTTGTGGTAAGTCATCCGGAAAGATACCCGGGAATCGTTTCAGTAGTGCCTGAAGTTCGGGTGGTACAACTGCCAATAGTTTCTGAAAATCGCTCGGCAGCTCCTCTTCTTGCACTAATGCTATGTCCACTGCGTACACGTCAGCTCCAGCAGCGACAGCCCGTTTCATCGTGATGGCGTTGACCTGGACCGTCGAAGACTCGGGTGGCTGCCAGCGAGGTAGGACGACCCAGTTACCACTATTTCGCACTGTGCAGCTACCCGTCGTCCAGTCAATTCGCGGGTTATACCGTCGCAGCCAATCACGTCCCAGTAAAATGTCGTGCCCATCCAGTGTCGTTGCGAGCATTTCCTGTGTAAACCCGAAGTTTCCTCCGCAGCGGACTTTTACTCGGTCCACCTTTTCCCGTATGGCTAGTGGCGTTCCGTCGACTAAGCGTGCATCTATCTCAGGTAAGCATCAGTTAAGTGTTAACTGTAATTTCCGTGCGGTTGTGGTATTAACTAAGCTGTGACTTGCTCCCCCGTCAATAAAAATCTTCACTGCTGCTCCATGTATTTTCCCGTAGATCAGTACCGGGCAATCCGTCGCTGTACCCTCCTTATTAATCCGAGCCCGATCGATGGCGTGAATCGGTACTGTGACTCGGTGAGGGTCGGTGTGGTTGGGCGAGCAGGCAGTCTCGTCAGTAGTTGGCCCAACTTCTACTGACTGCTGGCGTTTCCCTGCCTCTGAGACTCCCTCCCCTGCTCTGCTCCTCGGCGCCTCAGCTTCTCTGGGCATTCGCTCTTGCGATGGCCCGGCCTGTTGCAAGCAAAGCAGCGCCCTTTAAACGGTGCGGCAGCTGCATTTGTTGCAACGGCGTGTACAGTGGCGTGCTCGGTCGGTCCCCGAGGGCGATGTCCGTAATAGGACCCCGGTCTCGGTCGGCGTAGAATGTCGATCTTCTCGGCGAGCGCGAGAATCTCGTTAAAATTAGAGAGTCCGCGCAGCATTATTTCGTGCGAGATATCCGGCTTCAGCCCTCCGACATAACGGTCCACCCGCTCCGCTTTGTGCATGTAGCCGACCTGCTCGCAAAGTGCGAGAAAACCGCTTGTATAATCTTGAACTGACCCGAGCTGGCGCCAAGTGCGCAATCTCTGACGCGCCGAAATTGAAGCCGCGATCGGCTCAAAACGCGCACGAAGCCCTGCGCACCACGCATCCCACGTGCTGTATTGGGCGGTCTCACAAAACGAACTCCAGGTGACAGCTGGACCCGTGGGCCCTTCCTCGTGCGACGGTGGCTCGTAGGCGCGTGGCGACGTCACGATGACTCGCCACCAGTCCATGGCGGGGCCCCTTAGCAGTGAAACTGCATATCGGATCTTCGCGGCGTCCGACTCGACGTAATTTGCGTCGAAGAAGACGTTCATCGTGAAGACCCACGATTGAACCGTCGGACCGCCGCGTTGGCTTGGGTCGAAGCAGGGCGGGCGTTGCGGCTCGAGCGGCATTGGTGCCATGATGGCTTGTTCGCCACTTGTCGCCGCAAATTCCACGTGCGGACGGGCTTCTCGGGGCTCCCGCGGGCTTGGTGCGATCCTGTTTCCTCCCATGCCAGGCATCGGCTGGGCGGCGCCATTACTGGTCGTGCCTGAGCGTTGTCCCATGCTGCCGTGTTGTGTTGGTGTGCCGGACGAGATGAGGATCGGTTCATCCGAATGTGCCGATACATTTGTTGGTGTGTGTGATGTCGTCGGAACGTTCACCGTGGACTGTTGACGGGCGGAGTCACGTTCCGCCGTGAGCGTCGCGATTTCGAGCGCTGAATCTTCCAGTTGACGCACGAGACGATCAAGTTGCTCCTGCGTTAATGTGGCGAGCGTGAAATCGGCCATGGCGGGGGTGTCGGGCAAGCTCAGCGAGAGCCTCGGTCGTGGCCGTGCGTGCTTGCGAGAGAGCACTACGAGCGGCGGTGCTGTATCGCTGAGAGACGTCTACCCCCCCCAAAAAATTGAGATAGTGGAAAAGCGAAGGTGTGGATGCGGTCCGAGCTGAGATCGTAGGCTCTGATAACCAAGTGTTACGAGTGCAATTGAGTGAACGAACGAGAATTGCACTATCGAAGCAAGAATACAATGAGCGAGGGCATGAGCGAAGAATATATAGCGAAACTACAGTGGTAACGGTAATGGTCTGTGGTAGTCGCGCGACGAGCCTGGGACTGAGGTTGGGAAAGTGTCGAGGCGTAGGCCCGGAGCGCGGGTTACCAGCCGAGCCGTGAGGTCGGGATGCGATGTGCGAAAAATGGCGGGATGATTGTCGATGCGATGATCGCGAGTGGTAACGGTGCTGACTGAGGTGCTACAGTGATGTACGCGTTGAGCAGGGATGCGAAGTAAGGAAAAGGGATTTTCCTTACAGTGGTACATGAAAAATGAGATTTGTTGAAGGTCGGATGTATATTTGAGAGCTGGTGCTTCTGAATCATGATCATCTGGAAAAAGATGACCTAATTGACAAATACGCTATGGATGTGTATGTGTATCCCATTCCCAAGTTCAAGTTTTTTCTTTGGCTGTGTTTGACGTGCCTCAAAAATGTATTCGCCTGTATATAACCCCTAACGCACTTGCTGTTTTTGAGGTGCCTGGAGAATGTATTCCCCTGTAAACTGTATAACCCCCTAGCGCACTTGCTGTCCTGCTGCTTCATCTACTCAGCCAGGATGATACTTGTGTCATGCTGCTCTGCGTTAGGGATACTTATTCAACCATAATGGCTATAAAGGGGAACAAGGTTAGGGTTCAAGCTAGGTCGCGCATGTGCTCCTGTGCTGAGTGGTGTGCCGCTCCGTGTGGTCAGCCAGAATGGACTGTGTTCTTCAAATCTGCTAGGAACATGGTTTGGGAGAGATTGAGAGATGCAAAATGTGGAGTGTTACAATTGTATTAAATATGCAGAATCTAGAAAAGACCCTGCCGACCTACAACGCCAATCATGCGTGCAGTAACAGGCACTAGTACCAGGACCGTCCAGCACCTACAAACGCCTACCAGCACCTACCAGAACATTGTAGATTAGGGTTTTAAGAACGTACTGTCAAACCATATCTGTGCTAGTTGTGTGTAGGCTATAGTGGGGTAGCCCATATGGGGTACAACCCAATACGTATTAGGGTTAGTACTTGTACCCACAATTCATTCAATGAAATCATTCCTGCTTGCGATCTTGACACGTACCCATGGCAGCATCCGGTTGAATGGTAGTTAGTGGCGAGCCTGGCTTGCATAGGTGGACCGCCAACAGTAACGCCAGGGAGCTGAGTGCGTGTGGTGGAGTGATGATACGTTATGTGGTGTGATAGGATGTGATGTGACGTGACGTGATGTGAGAAATGTGATGCGGAGGACAATGAATGAAGAATGATGGTTCGTTGGGAAAATTAAGGGGGGGGGGGGGGGAGAGGGGGAAGAAAAAAAAGAAAGAGAGAGTAAAAAACGGTGCTACAGCAAGTGCCAAATTGTAGCATTGAGACATAAGAGCAAAGGCCAGAGCACAGGTTTTCAGTGGCTTATAGTTTGCCCTCGTAGGATGACCAGTGCAGCACAGAGCCACTAACAGGCGCAGGAGCAGCAGTGACATTCACACTCCACTGTGGGTGGAAAGAGATGGTCTGGCAGAGCCATGGGGCAAAAAGGCTGCTCTCACCTGCTCTCCCCCTTTCAGGTCGGCAACGTTCCTCCAGCACTGCTGCTATGGTGGGCACACAGAGAAACATATTCCCTGGCTGAACGGGTCAAGCGAGTCAACGGATGCCAGGTCAGCATCGCCACCTGGCACCATGATCTGGTAGATCTCCTTCACCCGCACCCTGATTGCATCAAGGCCTGCTGTAAACTCTGCCTGCCGACGCCTTATCAGAGCCCTGTGCTCCTGCTTCACAGCATCCCTCTCTGGTGTCACTTCTGTTGCTTCAAAGAACGCCTCGAAAAATGCGTCATCTTGTTTATGGTACCTGAGCAAGTGCAGAACAGAAAAATAGGATGATTGCTGATACGTTGTGCCTCCTGACTGAAGTTAAAGCTAACTGTCCCAGCAGTCAGGTAGTCATGTCCCAGCAGTCAGGTAGTAATGTCCCAGCAGTATATATGGGCAAGTGGCGAGTCGAGTAAAACTTGACTCGTTTTGGCGAGTTTTTTGTTGCACTCGAGTCGAGTCGAGTTTTAATTGTCGAGTTTTTTTGGCCAAAAATCAAACTCGAAAATCGCCCATAATATCGAGTTTTTCAAAAGCTCGTACAAGTTTTGAAAAAGCTCGTTCGAGTCAAGTAAAACTCGACTCGAACTTAACCAGCACCCACAGCCACCACTTTAGCCACACAGCACCAGCCAGAGGGTGCACATAAATAAGGTCCATCTACGCCCACTCAACAAAGCAACTACAATTTTGAGGTCGACATCCCTCAACCCAACACCCACCAGCATTCCAGCCCTACATCACCCCCACACTTTCACACCCCAACCGTGCTGCACAACGCCTGCTGCAATAGTGTCCTGACAAGAGGTTTGGGGAAACACCTCCAGCAGCCCACTCCCGCAGATAAAAGCCACGCATTCAAGCACCTGCTGAAACCTGGACAACGGTTACAAACCAGCAGCAATGTACCAAGCATATTGAGAAGGCCAGGTCTAGCGCCCTGGTGAGCGTCAGAGGGGGAGATTAATTTAGAGAATAGCTAGTCTAATAAATAAAGATGTCTACTATCCTGATCTGAACATGCAAAAATGGGGCCCTTCGCTCAAAACTCCTCATCCAGGTCCACTCCCACTTTGTCATCCACCATGGCCACCTTGGCGGCCTTTCCCAATGGGGTGCCCGGGTACGAAGCGATCCATAACTTCAAGGTCATGCATGCCTCCACGCGTTCAGCACCCAACCTGTGCCGTTGCCATGTGATGAGGTTCCTACCTTGTGAGAAGAGCCTCTCACTGGCAGCAGAGGTGGCTGGAATGGCCAAGTAGTCCTTTGCCATAGCCTCCAGCCCCTCCAAATCACCCCTACGACGCCAGTATGCAAGGGGGTTTGTGGATAGGGGCTGCATGGGCTCCTCAAGGTAAATCTGGATTTCATCCTTGTTCTCTGCTGCCTGCTTCGCACGCAACGCCGCCAGGCGTGCCACGAGTCCTCCCGAATCATGATTCTGGCCCCCAAACAGGTTCAGGCCCCCCCAAGTCGTCCCGCTGCAGCTGCCACTCCCCCCAGCTGCTGTGCTGCTAGTCCCGCCCAAGCCCACCACCATCAGCTCCCCTCTTCCCTTCCCAGTAGCCGCCTCTCGCTCGCGCCGCACCTTCTCCTTGTATGGCTGCGACTTCGCACGCACAGAGCCACTACCTCCTCCGAGGGCACGTGAGATACCGCCCTGCCCATGTTGCTGCTCCCGTCCTCAAGCTCAAAGTATCCGAGCTTGAATGCCGGGTCCAAGAAGGTAGCGACACACAGCTCATCACTGCTGCTGTAGTAATACTCCTGCAGCTTGCCCAAGGAAGCGTCGATGCACTTCCGCATGATCACGGAGGGAGGGGAGGTGGTGCTGTCCCTGATCTTCTCGAGCGAATCCATAAGCTCGTTGTACTGCAGCACCACCCGACTCGCAGTCGGGTACAGGGACCCCTCCGTTGCCAAAGTCACAGCGTTGAAGGGCATGAGGAACTTTGCAAGTTCCTCAAGTGCGTCCCACTGCTCAACAGAAATGCGCAGCGCCATGAGGCGCAGCGGTGGCGCATCAACTGGAGCATTGGCTTGTGAAGGCGAGTGGGGCGGGTACAAGGGGGAGGCAAGGATTGGGGGGCGGGTACAAGTGGGAGGCAAGGATTGGGGGGCGGGTACTACTGTGTTGGCCAAAAATCAGAGTCCAGCCCACGTCCCACGGCTGAATTAGCAAGGCAGGTGGGCGAGGGTATGCTCACAACTGTGTGCCGAATGTAGGACTCAATTGGATCGCGCAGGTCCAGCCCGCGCAAGATCATCTGCAGGGTGGAACCCCAGCGCACTTCATTGTCTTGCCGCAGGCGCATGTACTGCTTCCGTGGTCGCCAAACCTCCTGCTCCGCCTTGAAGAGGGTCGTCCTTTGTGGCGAATAGCCGATGTAGGACGCCATCTCGCGGAGCATGGTGAGTGGCAACTTGATTTCATCCACGTTTTTCAAAGCCAACTGAATGGCCAAGTTCAAAACGTGGGCAAGGCACCTGTTGGGTGATGAGGTGTGGTTCTGGTTTTGGTTGGGAGTATCTCATATGTACGGTGTTGTTTGTGCCGGGTCTACACTAACAGGTGAACGAGGGAGCAGGCATGAACACAAGCGGATGCAAGGGTCATACCGGATGTGCATCCCGGTCTTGAACAAGCGGGGCATCTCCGCCGGGCCCTCGCGCGTAAGGATCTCCATCGCCGCCACGTTCGAGCTGGGGTTGTCCGTTGTCTACACCATGGTCCTCTCTTCCAGCTCCCATTCCACCAACACTGCCTCAATCCGCTCAGCGATCTTATTCGCCGTGTGTTTTGATGGCAAAGCAATGAACGCAAGCGTGTACTGCTTGAGCTCAAAGTTGGCAGCGCGTCCCCCTCCTCCACGCGCTCTCCCACCCGCTCTTCCAACCTTTCCCCCACCGCGACCCCGCCTCAATCCGCGACCACGCTTCTTAGAAGGTTCCTGGTCGGCCATAGCACGTTTCCCCTTCGCATCCGCCTTTGTAGCTTGTTGTAGACCTCGTAGTGTTTTTGTGGCCCCCTCTTCCTCATTTTCCAATCCAGCGAAGTCCTCTTCCCTATCCTCCTCAACCTCATCATCCTCAGCATTGTACATCTCTTCCTCTGAGTTTATCACCTTCTTATCCTCCTCCTCCTCCTCCTCCTCCTCCTCCTCCTCCTCCTCCTCCTCCTCCTCCTCCTCCTCCTCCTCCTCCTCCTCCTCCTCCTCCTCATCTGCCTCATCCACATGCTCCTCCCCTCCCCCCTTTATATAAATATCATTCCCACCCTCACTCTCCCTCATGACTTGGTCGGACAACTCTTCCATGAATGCATTGCTAAACCATTCTGTTACAACCCCCCCTGCTGCCTCCCCCCCGCGCCTTCCGCAATCCCTCCGCCTTCCCCGCCTCCACCTCCTCCCGAGGCATGGGTCCGCCGCCCCCAACCCCCCCACCCTTGTGGTTATCATCCGCCTGCCGTGCCCCATCAACCCCCATTCCAGCCATGGCAGACCCCGCCACCATGGGGACAGCAACGTCCCCTATCGCCCCTTGCTCGGCCCCTGCAGATGTACCTGCGGCGGATGAACCCCCTGAAGCCATGTCTCTACCCCGCCCACCACCCTTGGCGGACGCTTGCAACACCTTTGCAGCGTCTGCAGCTGTTACAATGGCTTGATAACGGCGTTGCTCCGATCTGGGGAGGGCGTGGAGCTCGATGTCATCTCCATTGACACCCTCACCGCCTCGTCCTGCCCCCCTACCGCCTCCGCCATGTACTCTCCCTCCTCTCCCTGCACCCGATCTACCACGCACCATGCTATTCCACGCAGTCACTCCAAAACCAACCGTGCAAATTAGCTGTTTTCACCTTAACTTAGTCTAATTCAAGGGGAGAAGACGTATGGGTCCGAAATTGAAGTGTGTTATAATGCTTGCGGGTGTCATTAGCCTTCCACCTGACTGAAACCCTAGAAAAACACGATTTTTTTTAAGAAGAACACGTAGGCTGAGCGGACGTTCCTAGGTGTGGTAGAACACCTAGAAACTACCCTACGAAATGGTGGTTCCTTTTAGATCTTGGAAACCAGATCTGAAAAATGAGCATTTTTTTACATTTGTATCCGACCCAGGTGACGCGCGAGTTTTTTTAAGCTCGAAACTGGATAGGAAAAACTCGCGAGTCTAAAAAACTCGCGAGTAGTAAAAAAACTCGTGAAAAAACCGAGTTATCCGCGAGCTTTTTTTTACTCGCGAGTAAAACTCGACACGGGCGTCCGAGTTTTTCCAACAAAAAAACAAACTCGAAACTCGAGCTTTTCGAGTCCCTCGAACGAGGCGAGTAAAAGCTCGACTCGTTTGCCCATGTATACCTAGCAGTCAGGTAGTCATGTCCTAGCAGTCAGGTAGTCATGTCCCAGCAGTCAGGTAGTCATGTCCCAGCAGTCAGGTAGTCATGTCCCAGCAATCAGGTAGTCATGTCCCAGCAGTCAGGTAGTCATGTCCCAGCAGTCAGGTAGTCATGTCCCAGCAGTCAGGTAGTCATGTCCCAGCAGTCAGGTAGTCATGTCCTAGCAGTCACGTAATCATGTCCCAGCAGTCAGGTAGTCATGTCCCAGTAGTCAGGTAGTCATGTCCCAGCAGTCAGGTAGTCATGTCTCAGCAGTCAGGTAGTCATGTCCCAGCAGTCAGGTAGTCATGTCCCAGTAGTCAGGTAGTCATGTCCCAGCAGACTGCATCGCACCCAGCACACTGAACCCAGTACACCCACACTCACTCGTTTGCTCACATTCACAGTTACACCACCCGCAAATTCACACCGCGAGGCACTCTCACTCACTCGTCAATGCAGCTCACGTCAATGTTTTCCGTAAGAGTTTTGAGCTCTTCTCCCGAAGAGTCCAGCTTTGACAACATCTCATCGTCGGTAGCTCCTACGCTCACGCGATTACAGCACAGCCAGGTTACCAGGCTCTCCAGCCCTCGCGTCTCCTGTTTATATGTCTCTGCCGTAGCCTCCACTCCTTGGCATTGCGCTGCAGCCTCACTCCCCTCTGCCGACTCGCTCCCATCTGCAGCCCAGCCTTGGCGCCTTCTTCAATAACAGCCCTCTCCCCTATCTGCTGCTTCTAGCCACTTGCCCACAGCTTCGGTGGTGAAAGTGTGGGGAAGGCCTGCCTCTTGAATGTCCTCGTCTGACACGCGCTTCTCTTGCATGCTGCAAAAAGAGATTTCGGGGGGGGGGGGGGGGGAGGAAATGAAGGATATGCACACCTTAATACACGTGTGTATGGGGGAAAGGCTTGTCTTTTCCATGTTCAATTCACACACATTGCATGAGAGATGTTAGCGTTCAGTAGTTCGAGAGGATCAATAGCAAAAAAGCTCAAGAGTAACAAGCAGAGGGCAGAGAGTTGGCGATTATGCACTCACTGTGAGATCTGACGTGCGATTTGCACCCCCAAATGCGTGAAAAATTCCCTTGCCCTTCTTGAAGGGCTTGCAGTTGCTTGTTGGCGGCACTTGATTTCCTCAAGCTGCGAACGTGTGATCTTCTGACTGTGTGGCGTCCAAAGTAAGGATTGGAAGGCGTGAAGTCAGAGAGAACAAAGCGGAGAAGTGGGAATATAGGCATTTTCAGTGGAATGGCAAGGAAGAAAGATGAGCGTAGTGCATAACGGAGCGGGTGTGTGAGTCCAGTTTGAATGGCAGGAAAAGAAAGAGAGCCCAATTCATAAAGACGATCCACATTCGGCTCTGCTCGAATCCACCCGCTTACCTATATCCCTCGTTGAGGTCATCTCCTGGGTTGGGCCTTCTCTTCTCTCCTTCTAGCTATCTCGCCGCCCCTGTGTCCATCTCACCCTCCCTGCACTCATCTCACCTCTCCTGTCGCATCTCACCGATCTAAAGTCGATTTTGTCGTACTGTCTCTCAGCAGCACCTGCCTCCCTCCGCTTGTCCTTGCACTCCTCCTGCTTGTGCTCCGCTACCTGCCAGCGGAGGCGCAGCCAATATAGGGGGATAGGGGGATCGGGGGAGTTGGATAAGGCGGTGAAATTCAAGTCAACTCGGTGGGCAAACCACTTCCGTGGCTGTGGAGGGAGATCTACAAGACATAGCAGGTAGGCAGGAACAAGGTGTGAGCTTGCGCGGCAACCTCGCAAACATATCCTTGCTTCTCTCGTTTCAATCTAGGCTTAACGGCTGATGTTGAATGTAATAAACCACCTTACAACCGTGTACACGTCCCTCACCCCCCCCTCTCCGCCCCCCTCTCCCCCCCCCCCCCCCCCCCCCCCCCCCCCCCCCCCCCCCCCCCCCCAGCCCATTCTCCCTCAGACACACACCTTAACCAATCTTTCCCAGTTTTCCAGCATTCTTTTGTCAGAGGTCCACTGGTGATCCCCGATTGATCCTAGGGAAGGGTTACAGGCACGTTGGCCTGGGGGGTTATGGGCGCACTGACCCGCTACTTAACAAGCCCTTTTATCCCAATGGTCTAGTGGTTGGGATTCTGACACCTTTCCACGCTGCTCGTGTCTGCGCTCAGATTGCTCAGGCTCCTGTTTTTCTTGGCCCTTTTCTCCTGCAGGCGCAATGAGGACAAGAAAGGGTCGTGGGTGCCATGTGGGTAGGTGGCGTCTGAGTGGATGGTAGGTGAATATGTTAAAACGCGTCGTTAGTTCCAGAAACACTCTCAGATTATCGACTCATTCTCAGCAAGATGCATAACATCCAGACCTTTCCATCCCACTCATATTTTCCATCCTCAGGGTTCAGTCACCCACCTTGCCTGTCTTGCATGCAGGCCCTTTCTTCAGCAGTACATTTCGCTCATCAGTGGCAGCCTTCACCTCTGCAACGAGGGCCTGCTAAGGAAGCTTGCAACGTTAGCAACACACACAAAGGGAATCCTAGGGCCAAGCCAGACAAAGCGAAGCGAAGGGAAGTCAGGTCCAAAAGGTTTCTTCTATGAGCCAACTATTTACTCACATTAAGCCTCCTCTGCACATTTCACATACGAGTCTGTTTTGCACTTCATCTTTTCAAAAAGTAAAGACAGCGTATTCCTGCATTTAACGGTGCTACAGTCAGCAGGCTCAGGCTCTCAACGTTGAATACAGGACAAGAAGGTTTTCCTTTCTCAGGCTCCCATGATCTGATACGGCCTCTTTCCATTCTTCAAACATTTTCACCAAGCACGGGATGAATACAGGTCAAGTACAGAAGCTATGAGATTCACCTGCCTACCACTCCCCGCTAGCTAGGGTCATGAAGTCCTGTGTGATGAGGCGTCAAGAGTTGCACCGCGTCAAAAACATATCAAGATGCTTTCTTCTTTGAACCTTCCCTCTCCTAGCCCCACACCCTCTCATCGCCCATCACCAACCTCCTTCACTCGCCTCGTTCCCCAGTTTACCCAACCCCTCACCCTTCTCCAGCCCCATTGTTTCCTTCCCAACCGCCACCCACCAACCCAGCCTGTTCCTATTGTCCTGCCTTCTACCTCTCCCACCCAATCCTCCTCCTACACAACTCAACCTCCATGCCACGCCTCTCTGTTGCAAGCACTCCTAACCTTGAGTTTTTCAATCTTGCTGCTAACCTCCCTCAGGCGGTCCCTCCCCTGCAACATTACGTACATGGCAACTCACGTCCGAGTCCCAACCAATCACCCCCAAAAACCCTCTACCCCACAACAACTCCCAATCTCACCTTTCTGTCTTAACCACCCTCTCAAGGCATGTGGCCTGCCTGTCGTCTTCTTTCCTCTTGCAATCAACTTCCTGCATCCACAAATACAGCCCTTCCATGGTCAGCTGGGTGTGCTGCGCCTCCTTCAGCAGAACCAATTCAGCCGCTTTTTTTTGCTCCTGGAGTTGAGGGCATGTAAGCAAAGGGGTTGACTGAGGATTGGGAGTGGATGACAAGAAGACCATACATCCCTATCATGCTCAGCTGAATTCGCTGTGCCTACTTCAGCAGGAAACACTTGCCACCACTCTCCTCATTGCCTGTACTAAAGGAAGGAATTACTTAAATTGCTCATGCGAAGTGGGGGAGAGGAGTGTGTTCTCTGTCGTGGTTCTCCTACAGTGTATGTTATGTGTTTCTCCTATTGTGAATGCTCTCTCCTTCTCCTGTAGTGCTTGCTCTGGGTTTCTTTCTCCTGCATTGCAAGCTCTATGCTGCTCGCATAGTGCAATCTCTATTCCTCGAATGCTTTCTCTATCTATGCACTCACCTCTAGCTGGACCTTTTCCCTCTCCGCTAGTCGCATTTTTTCCATGAAGCCCACCCTTCTCTCATTCTGATCCTCAAGCCTGCTCACAACCAGACAAGCAGAAAGGCAGGCAGACAAGGAGGTAGGAAACAAGGATTATGGCAGACAAGCAGGCCAGAAGAGCGGATAGGCACAGCACAACCAAGAACCCAGCATTTAAGCTGTCTATCTATTGCTTGGACGACAGCACTCAGCAGTACGAGTTTAAGTCAAATGCTCTAAGAGACAGAGCAATAAGGAACGAAGGCATTCAGCCACAGGGAGAACCTGATGATGATAGGATTAAGGGTTTTCAGTTCTGCGGGCTAGAGGTACTTACTTACTCGAGAAACAAGCGCAGCACAATCAAATGATGAAGAATGAATGCGAATCTTGCACTACCCGTGCATGCATATACGAGAATGCATTATCGCTGGGCTCTTTTCTTGATCTGCTCGATGTACTTGTTCGTTCCAACAGCCTTATCAAGGTACTCCAACAATCCCTCCTCATGAGGCCGCTGAGCCTTTGGTGTCATTGTTGCAACCCGCCT